GGGAATGCAGAAGGATGCCAAAGAAGGTCACCAGCAAACCCAGCCATTGGAGGCGCCTCACTGGGTTCCCGAAAAACAAGGTCGACATCAAAATGATGGCGGGTGTCTTGGCGTTGGCGATCACATTGGTGCCCACTGGGGAAAGGTGTTTGATGGTCATATAGCTGAGAATATTGAAGCTGCAGGCCAGAAAACCCGAGACCAGCAGCCATATCCACAGGTAGAATTGCTCTGCAAAACTGCTTTCTGCTTTGAAGAGTGTGCGAAAAGGCCTGGTGCCTTCGGTGAGAGCAGAGGCTGTAGCCAAGATCGTCAGATTAAAAGGAGCCATGTAGTAGCACAGCGTGATGGAATCGACGTTTTGATCACAAAGCAGCCGCCCTTGAGGGAGGCATCGATGAATAGTCACCGTGCTTCAACATTTTTTAACATACTTTGATTTTCCACACCGCTGTTTACCCGAGTTCCCCAAACCTCTCAGTAGTCTTTTCATACGGACTAGCTACTTATTTACATATACCATCTTAATTTTCATCAATTAATCCATTCTAATCCTGCATCCCCTTTCAAGAAACAATGATTTCTGCAGAACGCCGCTTCGTCACCGTGCCTTGCAAGATGGTTTTCAATGACCGGAAGACCACTGCAGAGATAGACAGAGTGCAACCAACGACCGAGAAGTTCACTTCATTGAAGGAACAAATAGCTCCCCCACCACAGACTGGAATCATGGCCCAGTATGCCCAGCTGTTGTAGCGTCTTCCATCCAAAATCATGCTGGTGATCAACGTAAACAGAGGTGTCAAGCATTGAATCATTTCCTGATGACGTGCACCGATGCGGGCATGTAGAACAGGAAGAGAATGACATCAGGTGGAGGACAAGAGAAAAAATCAGTTTAAGGCGCGAATATTTTCAAATACATATGATAATATTAAGGAATGTACAAACGTGCATGGTCGCATGGTCCAGGTTTGTTTGTTCCCCGCCTTCCACTCAGTAGCGTTCCGACCAGCATGGAAAACACTCGTGTTGAACAGCTAAATTGCTTAAGGTGGTCATGTTTGTGGTGAAACTGTATGTAGTAAACGCAGATCTATACACATGTAGCAAAGATGTAATATCAGTGTCTATCCATCTCTCTCTATATATATTATATATATATATATATGTATCCATAACTGTACTTCTACATGAACGCTTGAAGCGTGTGAATAAATGTGAATACGGTATAGGTCAGTCGATAGAATTACACAGCTAAATAATTATGTATCATAGTGATTCAACATGTAGCAATGTGTATCATGATTTTTCATACTCTTTCATCACAACTGTTTCACGATATTACTTTGTTCATGGCATCCTTACCCTGGTTATTTGCAGCATGTACCCGTTTAACATGTTGAACATGTGGCACTCCAAGCTTGGTCTTTGCCAAAGCACATGATATGATGGGTACATATAGGTCAGGGCAAAATTGGCGCATGCCAGGGACGCGGCGTGGAACAATGTGAATGGCAAGACCTTCTCCATCCTTTCTGCCATCGGCATAAAGTTGGAGGCACTGCCCAGATGTAAACTCATTGCTGTGGCGACCCAAGAGAAGACCATGTGTGTACCAGCAATGAAGAGAGGGAATTTGAAGCCACACCAATCCTTGTATTTGGATGCGACATGCGGACATGCGTCAACCATCGTCAACCAGTATAACAGAAGTAACATTTCACGAAATGAAAACAATAAAGTCTCTCTTACGCGCAGCATCGTATAGGCACTTGACTGAATTCACCAACATGATGCTGGTGGTGAAGTTAAAAAGGACGATGGTAAAGCCACGGAGCCAGGACTGCATCACTGGTTCCTTCGGATCGCTCCGTTCCGATCGCTCGGAGCGCTCCGTTTTGCATCGCTCCGTAATGACACCCGTCTCTTCATCGTCGGCGGCATCGGGGTCAAGGTACCCCATTCAGCACCTGGCTGCGGGCCACGGCTGGCCACGGGCCACTTTTCGGGCCCGTTTCAAGAAGTTTCACACAGGGCCAAACACACAGCTGGTGCATTGGCTTTCGACATGGCATCATGAAACGTGACAGAGCCTCACCAAGAAAAATCTTTGTCCTTGGATATCTTGGGTTTAGATGGGTTTAGGAGCAAGGTTAACCCCTTCCTGTTGGCAGATCCCCATCCACTTCGATTGAACCAACACAACCAACATCTGAGCAGCCACCTTTCCCCTTGGAACATGTGCATGTTTGAGAATGAAATCTGCAGGACCAAGAATACAGATAGAGTGAACAGCAATAGACTGAGCAGCAAAGGAATGCAAACAATACAAGCCGATCTAAGCCGATCTTTGCTTTGATCAATCATTTTTCCAGCCCGTTTGGGTTTATCTGAAAAACGTTTACCCAAAAAATGATGGTTGATTGTCATTTTAAGTTTTTTTTCCCATTCAAATTGCCATCAATTGGAGTACGGTATACCCAATTGTCGGATCGCACACACAGCCCTTCTTCACCTTGTCCGCACTTGGGCCACAGCAAGTGTCACTACTCTCCGGAGTGTCCACAGCCGCCTTTTGGGGGACGAGTTAGAGTTTGTCATACGTGAAACACTTGCACATTTCAAAACATCATGTGGGTCAGTTCACCAAAACCAGCCCTTTTGTTCGAAAATCGCTGGGTTTTATGTCCATCCATCCCCAAGATATGGATATTTTTATGGTATCTGTAGGTATTGATCCATAGCCATGGTACCCAAATAGACGTGCCTTGATGCACCGCGCCAGGCGGATACCCAGCTTCGTTTGCCTCAGCGATTGAAAGTTAGAAATTTCCGACTGGAAATGGCTGGTGTGGCCAAATTTTGCGTTTTTTTTTCCGGTTCTATCTGAAATGTCCAGAAATGTCCATAATTGGGAACTTCCCACTGGAGATGCCGAGAAAAACAGCTGAGCCACGGTGCCTGTCTTTCATCTTCGGATACAGGTCAGATCTCTTCAACAAGACCTTGGCGCAGGAAACACGGACCGAATCCCAAAGTATTGTACTGAGACTGAAGACCAATGGCAAAGGACATCAAAGAATGAAGACCATAAAGCGCTTCCCCGTTTACCCGAGAACTTGGAAGCGACGGCGCGGCGCGCCTCTGCAGCAAGGCTCTTATGCTTGGACAGGTCCGGCCTCAGTTTTGGATGAGGTTTTATATGAATCCTGAGATGGGGTCTATTGGAATCTATTGGAATCTATTGAATCCACATGTGTATACATATATATAGATATGTCTATATATGGGGCTGGTCTATTGAGTCTATTGGGACCCTGAGTTTCCCCACAGTTCATCGGATCCATCTGCAGCAAAACCACCCTGCTGAAGCTCGACTGACGAAATGCAGCAGATTGAAATATATCTTAGATACTCGATCATATTCACAAATTTGATTTACACAGATCACAGATGATCACCTATCGATGCATTTTTTTGGCACAATATACAGGTACACTCTCATGATTTTGTCATCATTCGGATCGTTTCGTCATCTTTTGGCATCTGTTCGCCTCTAAAAACATCCACCATCACGTGTCACGCCTAGTTCCAAGTTCCCAATAGGTAAACTGGGACAACAAGTCAAAACACGTCCACATCTTAATGTATCTTTCTTCCTTTCCGATGCCCATTGCACTATGATGCACTTTTTGATGCACTATACGGTACTTTTTGATGCACGACTATAGTGCAACATAGTGCACTATACGCATCCATTGCATTCCATGACGGTATGGGATATGGCTATGGGTCACACCCAAATAGCATGGGATTTCGCCGCCTCAACGGCTCCAACACGCAGTCGCACATCTGAACCTGACGCTCCGGGATATGGGACGCCCCAAGTTGTAACATGCAGATATTCACGGGAACACCATGGAAAAGGAATGGTTGCAGAATGTTTAGATTTCTGGACATACCGTGAATCCATGACATACTGTCCAGAAAAACTGGCACTTGTTTCCAAGTAATCCTTGAATCCGTAGAACACCTCCAGGCATTGAGCCGCTAAGCCAGGTTCTACTCAGTTTGAATGTCACTCATCACCCATCTCGCCTGCCATCGCCTTGCAAGACATGAAAACATGCGACATCATGCGACCATTGTCAGTTGTCTCCCAACCTTAAGCCTGGGACAGCCCCGGTCGTCCCCAAAATTTGGATCTCCCATAGGTGGCTATATGTTATTAATCTATTGACCAGTTGCTGTTCCTCATTTGTACTGAAGAAACATACCGAAGAATCTATTGACCCTGCATTCGGAATGCATAGCTCGCCCATTCAAGGCACCTAGCCGCCGGCGTCTCCAAACCTTGGAGATCATTTTCATCATGGATCATCAAAACTTCAAATATAACATACCATAACCACATATAAAACACATATAAATAATGTATGCCTTCGGCAACCAGAATGTCTCACAAAAATAAGTTGAGAGACAAGAACCAAATCACTGAGATCTGGCGCTGGCGGTTGAGGTCCGGCAGTGCTCATGTCAGAGAGAATGTCAGAATAGATGCTAGATAGAATGCCAGAATAGAATGTCAAATAAAAGGCCAAATAGAATGCTAGAAAAGGTGCCAGAAAGAATGTCAGAACGATGCCAGATAGAATATCAAAAGAATGCCAGAGAAAATGTCAGAATAGATGCCAAATAGAATGCCAGAATAGATAGAATGTCAGAACAGAATGTCAGAAAATATATGCCATATATGCTTCCAGATCAGATGTCGGAAGTTATGACAAAACTCTGTCACCGTGGGCATCACTCGAAGTAAAGTAATTTGTGCTTGATTTTTGTGATGGAGTCGAGCATGGATTTCATCATATTTCCAGGAAAACCGGGGTTTCAGAAACAAACCCGGGGTTTGGTTGGTCCAGCAAAAAACATGTTTGCTGATCTCAATTAATATATATATGTACGTATATGTACATACACACACGCACGCACACACA